AAAATGAAAGCAAATTGTAAGTAGAAAAATAAAGAAACAAAAAAAAAAGCAAATTGTAGTGTCCTTTTTATAGGTTATACATAATGGTCTACAATTGTGCTTAGGGCAGTAGTTTGAGGCCATACAGTTATTTCATTATTATATAGGAGAAACAACAACAACAAACATAGTGTAATCCCACAAATCCCACAAATGGGGTCGGAGGACGGTATTGTGTACGCAGACCTTATCCCTATTTTAAGAAGGTAAAAATGTTGTTTCTGGTAGACCCTCGGCTCCATTATTGTATCGGAGAAGTGAAAATATATTCTGCTACTATTTTGTGTGCTCTAGTGTAGGGGTTTCTTTTTTCTTTTTTCATCCAAGTAATTCGAGTGATTTTATGCTTAAAGATGCCATGTCTTATTTTTCTCAAAAAAGAAGTCACGTCTCTTATCTATGATCAAAAATGAATTATCTTGTTGTTGATGTTCTTTTTAGGCCCTAGAAGTTATCGATCTTAATCAGAAAATAGAACTTGTCCATGAACTCAATGGGCATGTACTAAGGTGTGTGCGAGATCAAAATGGGAACCATGTTATCCAAAAATGCATCGAGTGCATACCTACCGAAAAAATTAGCTTTATTATCTCCTCATTCCAAAGCCAAGTAGCTATATTGTCTACTCATCCCTATGGTTGCCGTGTAATCCAGGTAATATTAAACTACGTTGTACCATGATATATGAGTACTTTGTTTTTATATTTCAATTGACGCATCTCATTTCGTGTGAATTTTTCAAAGAGAGTATTGGAACGTTGTTCAGAAAACCCTCAAAGTCAGTGTATAGTGCATGAAATCTTGGATTCTGCTTATGCTCTTGCTCAAGATCAGTATGGGAACTATGTCACCCAGGTTTGTATCTTTTTCCAGGTGATAGGCAATAATTTTTTTTTTCTCATCCTCAAGTTTCGTAACTTTATGTTCTTTATATGCAACTATTTGTTTTCCAATCCTAACAAAAAGCACATAAACCAAAAGAAAGGTTAATTTGCATGTTGTAACTAAGGGCATTATCATCTTATACTGGCTTATTTTAGGTGTTTTGTAAATTCTTTTCTATTTATGGCTAGCTAAAGGGTGAGACCACTAAAGCTATTTGTATCAATACACTACCTTAGTTCTTGTTATCAAAAACATTATTGACAAATATGGAGATTTTAGTAGTTAACTCAAAGTTCTAAAATATTACACAAACTTCTCTAGTTGGAAACTTGAAAAATTGAAATAATAACTTAATTCTTGTAAAGTAGATTTATTACAATTGTAATATCATGATAATGCAATGAAATGATGAAGTCATTTTGTTTAATTGAAAAGGTCAATTAATGAACACAAGAAAATAATGAAATCTTTAACAATTAATTGTGACCTTTAAACAAAGATGGCAGTTTTCTTGTGGTAAATAATTTTTTATTAAATAAAAAGGTCAAATAATGAATACAAAAAAATAATGAAGTTTTTTGATAATTAATTGTAATTACAATTGTAGGGTGGAAAATTCGATTAATACTGTGTTGGGGTTTCGTGTTTTAACATAAATAAAAGGTTTCAAATTCTTTTAGCTTTGGTAGCGGTTGTTCAACTGAATGAAAAATTAAGTTAAGTTTCTATCTCTCACGAATTTGTAAATATACCTACCTTGTTGGTTCTAGTTTTTCCTTCTTCGCGTGCATTCAATCTATTCTCTTTTTGCTCATTATGACAATCTCATTTGTCAAATTTAACTCAATATATTTGAATGAACTGTTTCTATTTCTCAAAAAGTTTGAGGAGTAAACTATAAATAAAAATATATACATAAATTCTATTAAGTGTTTGTAATATCTTTTTGAATATTGGCTTTGGGCCATTGATTTTATTGACTAGCATGTTCCTATCAATTAGACATCAATGTATTGATAAGAACTAAAATATAAAATCATCCTTCCCCTTGGTTTTCTTGGGTGTTTGTGCTACTATTGTTGTGTGCATGCACGCATGACCCAACTGTCC